CTTGTAGACCACTCTGGCCTAGAACACTCAGATATGCGCCTGCTTCTGCCTCCGAGCCTCCAAGTGCTGGGATTAAAGACACCACCTGTCTTGGTTTTTGTTTTGTTTTGAAAGTAGAGCTATTGAGATGCATCAATGGGTAAAGGTGCTTGCCTCAAAGTCTGATGACCCAAGTCACTCCCTGAGTCACATAGGATGGAAGGAGAAAACTGACTCCTGCGAGTCCTGGATCTCTGAGTTCGAGGCCAGCCTGATCTACAAAGCAAATTTCAGGACAGCCAGGGCTAGAGTGAAACCCTGTCTCAAAAACCAAACAAAAAAACTTACAATGGCAGTTTAGGACCCACAGTCCATGTCAGCTGGGTGCCAGATATAGACCTCAGTGGTAGAGCACTAAGTTCTTCATATCTGAACAGCAAGCACACGGGAAACTCTGGACACTACCCATCCCAAAGGAGAGTCTAAGGGAAAGTTACCGCACTGTCCAGGACCACTGGGAGTATGGAAGCTGTGCCCTCACCTTAAACTGGAGCAACAAAAGATGAGTTTCATTGAGATGTCCACAATATCAACATTAAGGAACGAGTCTGACGCAGACACACATGACTTGTCAGCAGAACCCACACATTCCTCAGGATGCATCACAGACCTCAGCCAATGCAACACACATGCCTGAGAAGCAGCTCAGGCCATTCTCTGACAACCACATGCAGCTCAGAAGATCGCATGGGCATTTCAGAGCCTTTCTGTCGTCACAGTCACAACCCAGTCGGTGGCAAACCAGATTTAACACACATTCATATCCTGGAGATTTCTAAGACAGAACAGAGAAACAACTAAAACAGTGGGCTTTACCAAAATCAAAAGTCCTGCTCATCCAAAAACACCAGAGCTGAGCACGCAGACATATCTGTGGTCCTGGCCACTCAGGAGGCTCACCTGAGCACCGCAGTTTGGAGGTCAGTTTGGGCAGAGTGTGAAACCATTCTCCAGCGAAATCACAAAGCACATCCGTAAGAAGAGCGGCAAACCCCAGAGCAGAAACACTGGCAAAGAGCATCCACTTTCACTGCATGAAGGACTCCTCAACTCAATGAGGAAGACATATCCTTCCCAGTAAAACCAGGACACAACCTCCACTTCAGACATGTGACAGCACATGGGGAAAACCTTGACTCTATCCATCTCCGAGGAGAGTCTAGGGAAATTTACCACACTGTCCAGGACCACTGGGAGAGCGGAAGATTGTGCCCTCCCTCCCTGTACCTTAAACTGAAGGCTTCTCTTTCTTTCTTTCTTCCTTTCTTTTTTTGATCTTTGGTTTTTCGAGACAGGTTTCTCTGTAGCTTTGGAGCCTGTCTTGTAACTAGTTCTGTAGACCAGGCTGGCCTCAAACTCAGAGAGATCTGCCTGCCTCTGCCTCCCGAGTGCTGGGATTAAAGGTGTGCGCCACCACCGCCCAGCAAACTGAAGGTTTCTTAAACTAAAGCCCTATGACAAAAATCACCAAATGATAGCCTCAAACTCCAAAGAAGCCAATGTCTAAAATGAGGGTTCATTCTTACAAGGGGGTATTATGTTCCAACAGAAAGGAAAGTCGGCTGACCAAAAAGCATGAATGCATCAAAGAGTCTCGCTCTATCCACAGAGCCCTCTGGAGAGAGGGTACTGCCTGGGAATGCAGAGCTGGCAGCATCAGGAATGACAAAGAAGGAAGGAGGCTCCGCTCCTTGCTGGACGGACAGAGATGTCTGTGCCTTCCACAAACATACATATACAATGGTGTGCACTCTGGACAGCAACTGTTGTCCACACACCAAGTGAGCCAGCGCATGGCCTAGAAGTCAGTGGCGGTAAGAAAAAAGACGCAGGTGCACAAAGTTTGGAAGTGAGTTAATAATGTCAAAAAGAAAAGAATTTGAGGGGCTGGAGAGATGGCTCAGTGGTTAAGAGCATTGCCTGCTCTTCCAAAGGTCCTGAGTTCAATTCCCAGCAACCACATGGTGGCTCACAACCATCTGTAAAGAGGTCTGGCGCCCTCTTCTGGCCTTCAGGCATACAGACAGAATATTGTATACATAATAAATAAATAAATACATTTAAAAAAAAAAAAGAAAAGAATTTGAGTGAAAGAACAAAGGTTCAAAGACCTTTGGTAAAGGTAAAGACCCTGCTGAAGAGTGGAAGGAGAACATACCTAGGAACGGAAAACTCTGGAATCCCAGCAGTATGGTAGGGCAGACACTGACTGTCCCTAGCAGCTGTTGAGGCAAGGTGAACTTGGCAACACGGCCGGGACAGCACTGAGTATCAGGAGTTGGATCCTCCCTCCCATGAGCTTCAGGATGCCTAGTACCCAGCTTCCCCCAGGACAGAGAGCTATCTCACTACCTCCCAGGGAAGGAGAATTGAAACTCTACCCATGTCAAAGTAACGGGGATGGATTCTGTCCCCACCCCACCACCCCACACTCCAGGCCAACTCTGAGGGACACACACAATTAAAAGAGGATTTCAACAGTTTTAGGTGGGCAAAGATTACTATTCCCCGTAGAAACTGCTGAGACTCAAGTAGGGGGAAAATGAGAAAGAAAAATTGGCAAAAGACATGAATAGGAATTTCTCTAACAGGGAAGTACAAATGGTCTAGATTCATAATCAGAGAAATTCAAACTAAAACCACAACACTGTTTCACACCCACCAGCTTGGCAAGAATGTGAGGCAGTGAGGATTCTCGCCCTAGCACTGGGGCTGGAGTTGGCACAGCTGCTTTAGGAAGCAACTGAATAGTAACACTGAGCGAACACACACCCACACCTCTAAAAGTCCTCCTACTCGGTAAAACACATTCAAGTAGGTCCTGCCTGCCACAGGGACAGGCATGCACGCGGGCAATAGGTAAGAAAACCTCCTCTGCAATGGCAATGGCAGATTTGTAACTGGGCAAAAACCTGGCAATATCCCTTAGCAGAAGCCCAGGTTTCATCATTCCAAGGGAATACTATGCAGCAGTGATGCTTCAGCAGCCACCAGCACAGATGCAGCTCCCAGAACTGGAGACTTGACCAAAGCCAGGGTGAAGAGTGAAAAGAACTCAGGGAACACTATCATGTCCTGTTTGCAACACCCAGAAGAGCAGCACTGCACAAAGGTGATATGACGGTATGTGCCAAGGGTGCATGCACAGGAGGTATATGCATCAGCAGAGCAGAGGTCAAACAGCACACAGGACAGAGATCAGGCAGCACTGTACTGAGACTACATGCTTTTTACACACATGGAGTGGTCCTCACCACTCCAGAAAGTCTCTCATCTCTGACCGGGCCCAAACCCAGAACACCCCAACATCTGCTGCTGCTCACCCAAGATGCCCCATCCTTCCCTGTGTGCAAGCCTTTCCTGCCGCTGCTATCCCCTACAGAAAAGGGGTATTCTAGGAGTATGCAAGAACAGAGACCAGAGAAGGCAGGATGGAGCGTGCCTAGAATCCCTGTACACAGGAGGCAGACAGAGGCAGGCGGATCTTTGTGAGTTCAAGGCCAGACTGGTCTACAGAGTGAGCTCTAGGACAGCCAGAGCTATACACAGAGAAGCCCTATCTCGAAAAACAAAAAACAAACAAAAAATTACCAGCCACCTTTAGAGGGATAATGAAATGGTCTCTGTCCCCTTCCTTACCAGGGTTAGACATCTGTCTTAGGTGAGTGTGACATGTACCTGTAACCGTAGTTCTAACTATAAAATAAGCTGAGGGATGGGGGGGAGGTGGATCACAAGAGCTTAAGAGTTCAAGAACAGCCTCAGCAACATAATGAGATTCAGTAGCAGAAAAAAGGAAGAAAGAAAAGGGGAAGAGAGGAGGGAAAGAGAGAGACCCCCCTGGCTCTCATTTAAGGAACTCAGGGGCTGCTAAAAGGGCCAGTGTGAAGCGGGGTGCTCAAGATAATGATATAAAGAAGCAGAACTAGAGTGGGAGGGTCCAGCTCCCCCCACCCCTCCCGGCTTTGGTAGTTTGGGAGATGCTCCCAGTGAGGCAAATGCTGACCCTCAGGTCTCAGCACTCCAGATGCAACACAGGTCTAGGAATTGCGTTCAGTAACCATCCTTTCTTTCCCAAAGGCACAGCCAAAAGGGAAAAGTCACTATCTGAACCCCAACACCACACTCAGGGGCCTGCTGAAAGAGTCGGCAGAGTGAGAGCCACAGGCCAACCTGAAGCTCACCTGCAAATGAAGTACCTTCTCTTCACAGGGTTTCTCTACTCAGGGGCACACCGTCCAGGTTCTGTACCTGGAAGGCTCTTTGGGGACAAGCCCACTTTCCCTGTCTCCCCAGAGGAAAGCCTGTAGCGTCTTTAGCCTGGTGTCTGGATTTCTTTTTCCCTCACTAACTGAGGCTCCTGAGTAGGATCCAAGTCAAGAAGAAATCACCAAAGTTTCAAGCTGGGCAAGTAGAATGAGAAGCTGTAGGTCCACATAAAGATAGGTGTCCACAGTGCCCGCCCGGTGGGTAAATCTTGCCTAGTCCTTTCCACGGAGCGAGTGGAAGGTCGCCTACCCAAGAGAGGGAGGCCAGGCTTCGGCAAGCGTAAAATTAACAAGCTCCAAGCAAAGAGTAGAAAGGACTCCGGAGCTCTCTCCACAGCTCCCGGCACAAGGCCGACAGGTGAAGAGAGAGCAGACCCGACCCGCAGGGCACAGGGGAGGCAACCGTGGAGTGAGCCTCAGGCCCAGGCCTCTGGGGTGTGACAGTGCCGCTGCACACCAGAGGAGAGCGGTAGCACTAGCCGAGAGCTCGACCGCCCGAGGTGTCTGCGGTCCGCTGCGCGCAGCCCCGCCCGGGACGCAGGTGTCAAGGTGCGGGCAGAGCACTGGCCCCCGAGCCGCAGGCCCGCTGCCCCGCCCCAGCCCTCGCCTTGCTGTGGCCCGCGCGCGCTCGGGGGCGCGGGGTCCTGGCCCGCGGGCAGGTGCGCGCGGACAAAGCGCAGCGCGGGGGCGTACCTGGGCACACAGCTGGGGCTGGAGCCGTCCACCTCCCAGGTGGCGAACAGGTTCATGGGCACGGGGGTGTTGAGTGCTCCGGGCGCGCCGGGCAGGCCGAGTCGGCCCCGCTCGGCCATGGCGCCGGCCCCGCCGTCCCTCGGCGGCCTGGGGCTGCGCCGGGCCGCGGGAGCGCGGCGGGCGGGCGGGCCGGGCGCGCGGAGGGCGGCGGCGCGGTCACATGGCGCCGGCGGCCGGGCGGGAGTCGGGCAGGCCCGCGGGCGGTGTCCGGACTGTGCCCGTACCCCGCCCCCTACCTCTTCGCGCTGCCTATTGGTCGGCAGGGCAGGGCTCTCGCGTCACACCCAATCACTGCCTACCGGAAGTGAGGCGCGCGCCTAAGGGCGTCTCTGGCGCCCAGCCGCGGGAGTGAGCGCGCGCGCCTGCGCAAAAGCTCTGCCCTCCCAGGGACCCAAGGCAGTCGGTGCGATGGCTACCGGAGGGGCCAGGTCAACGAGCCCTCAGGCTCCCTGCCACGGGCCGTGGGCTCGGGCACGTGCCCATGTACCCTGGTGTCTTCTGTCCCTTACCATCCTGTGTGTCTCCGTGTAGGACCCCAAGGCCTCCGGGATCCTCTAGTACTCCGTAGGCCCCACCCACTCTTATCCCTTGAGGAGTTTCAGCTACCATCTGTCCTCCCTTGCTGCCCCCCTGCAGCAACCTCCTCCCATTCAGCCTCCTCCTACATTTAGCAGTGCTTATTTATTGACTTTTAAGTTTTTCTCAAGAACATCAGAACAAATATGTGGGACAGGGTGCTTTCTGCCTTGTTCACAGTGATGTGATAACTCGGGCCAATAGGAGCTGTGTGTAAAGGGGGGGCAATCAGACTGCCCCCAGGGCAGGGGACACCAGCAGGCATGACTTTGGGAAGGCTGACTAGGGGCTCAGGAAGAGGCTCCGTCCCTCCCTCTTTTTTTTTTTTTTTTTTTTTTGCTGTCTTTGGTCAAAGTCAACAAATTTAGGAAAAAGCTTTTCTGGCATGTCTTGTTTCTTTGTATCCACAGCTTTACACAATTGCCTTTCTTCTTCTGGGTCCCATGTCTTATTATCTACAAGTATTTTATTGAAACAATTCTAACCCAAGCCAATTTGACCTGGCTGTCCCTCCTTGCCCTTCGGGTTTACCCCAGCAACCCCGCTTTCTGCTTTTCTTCCCTGGAAGGCCCTGTGGGGGTGGTCCTTCCCTTGCTGTGACACCCCACCCCCTGCCGGCAACATTTGGTGCTCCTCTGCCAGAGGCAGCCTTCTGCTGTAATTCCTTCAGGACAGGAGCTGCAGACAGCTGCAACTGCTTAAAGCCAGAGTCCCACTTTGAAGAGAACAAGGGGACCTGTGTTTTCCTCATGTTCCCCACTCATTGGGGTGGTGAAACAAAGTCCAGAGGGTCTGTCAGTCTGTGGCCAGCTGAGATGAATATTGTCTGACATTGCAGCCCTACTGGGGCCAGTAATGAGGCTTGTACCTAGGAAACCGCAGGCTGTGTTCACTGAGATTCAGCAGCCTTGGTGGACAGGCTGCCTTTGATTGGAAGCAAAGGACAAGCATCCACTGACCTCAGCAATTGGCATACATTGCTGGGCACAGACCAAGGGTGCATTTGAAGGCAGAAGAATGGGCTGCCTGATGAGTTGTGTCTGTGTGCACCAGGCATGCATTGCAGCCAGGGTCAAGGGAGGAAATGAGGGTGACCAAGCTGTGCACACTGGGGCCTGGCACCGGTGGCCTTGGTTGAGCTGTGCCTTCTTGTACTAGACACCATTGTAGGTTCTCAATGAATGTGACATATCTGCCTATTCTCATTTTTTTTAATATTTATTTATTATTATGTTTACAATATTCTGTCTGTGTGTATGTCTGCAGGCCAGAAGAGGACATCAGACGTCGTTACAGATGGTTGTGAGCCACCATGTGGTTGCCGGGAATTGAACTCAGGACCTTTGGAAGAGCAGGCAATGCAGCCATCTCTCCAGCCCCCTGCCTATTCTCATTTTATTTTTTTATTTTTTTATTTTTTTTAATATTTATTTATTTTGTATGCAATATTCTGTCTCTGTGTGTTTGTAGACCAGAAGAGGGCAGCACAGCAGACCTCATTACAGATGGTTGTGAGCCACCATGTGGTTGCCGGGAATTGAACTCAGGACCTTTGGAAGAGCAGGCAATGCTCTTAACCACTGAGCCATCTCTCCAGCCCCCCGCCTATTCTCATTTTAAAGGGGAGGAAAGTGAGATGCATGCAACTCTGTACTTTCTGAGGGGAAGCATCAAAGTGTGTGTGTGTGTGTGTGTGTGGTGGCTGTCTGTTAAGGTCATGGGGGCATGTTAGTGATGACCAGTGTATGTTTTCCCAGTGAATAGATAGCAGTTTGAATCTGTTTCGCCAAACCTCTGCATTTGAAAGTAATGCTATGTCCATTTTGTAAACTGTAGGTCCCAAGATCAGTTCCTCTTCCTGTAAACTGGGGTTGATGTGATTCCCGCCCTTCCACATCTGGAGTGTTTTCCTACAATTTATCCTGAAAAATTGGAACAGAATTCAGGATGAACTTCTGTGGACAACTGAGGTGGCTGGTCATGGGGAGAAAGCCCAAGGAGAGTGTCCTCCAGTGCCCTGTAGCCCTAAATGAGCACACATAACCCACTGTTAAGGCCAGACAACATATTGCATGCTCGCCAGCAAATCATTTGTTTGTCAACAGTGAAATAAATTTTTGGGTTCTTTAAAGGACCTTGGGTAGTGGCAGGAAGTAGAGGTTCCTACAGGCACACAGATTGTCACTGGGTTTCCCTCAGCCTGCACATTGAACCTCACAACCTCATAACTGGTGCCCTGGACCATGGATTCCTTGGGAACTACTGATCTGTTTAGTGTGGGTTAAAATGATGAAAACCTGGCATGAGGATGTGATACACGTGAGAAACTGCAGACATGGCATGGCCCATGCCCAAAGAAGTTCCTTCAGAGTCTAGGGACCTTGGGATGTGTCTAGGGCACAGGAACCACAGGAACCCTGACCATACTAGGCATGCACTAGACTTGTGTCCATGGATTTAGTGAGCACTGGTGGGCACTGAGCCTTCTGCTGTCTTCTGGTCCATCCTCCTTTACACTGTTAACTTTGGGCTCCAGTGTTGTAGATTATTTTAAGATATGTTCCATTTGTTTATGCTGTGGACATTTGTTTTAATGATGCAAAGATGTTTTACATTCTTTTCTGTTGCATCTGTTTAACTCTGTGAAGCAGTGGTACTTTGCCAGTTTAAAACACCTGATGGTCTAATAAAGAGCTGAATGTCTCTTGCAAGACAAGAGAGAGAATAGGAGGGGCTGGCAGGCAGAGAGAATAGATAGAAGGAAAAAAAGGGAGAAGAAGGAGCAGGATAGAAAAGGAGGAGGGGGCCATTAGAGGCCAGCCACCCAGCTACATAGCACACTACAGAGAAAGAAGTAAAGAAAGGTATATAGAAATAGAGAAAGAGTTGGACAGTGGTGGCGCACGCCTTTAATCCTAGCACTCAGGAGGCAGAGGCAGGTGGATCTCTGTGAGTTTGAGGCCAGCCTGGTTTACAAGAGCTAGTTCCAGAACAGGCTCCAAAACTACAGAGAAACTCCATCTCAAAAAACGAAAAAAAAGAAAAAAGAAAGAAAGAAAAGAAAAGAAATAGAGAAAGATAAAAACCTGGATGCAAAAGGTAGACAGGGATAATTTAAGAAAAACTGACAAGAAACAAGTCAACCTAAGGCTGACCATTTAAAAGAAAGAAGACTCCATGTATGATTTATTTGGGAGCTGGGTGGTGGGTCTCCCCAAAAAGCCAAAAGAGCAAAAAGAGTAAGACAACAAACAACACTTCAGTCCATCAGGTGAGTTCCAAAGGCCTGGGGAGCTCATGTTTCTGTGACAGCTTGGTTCATATTCTGCATCCCTGCATGGTTAAGTCCCTGTGAACCTTGTTTGTCAGGGACAGGGCTACAAACTTGGCCAAGCTACTATCAAGGAGGCAGGAACAGAAACTTGACACACAGAAGACACCCTGGTCACGTGGAGTGTGGGTCATGGAAGCCTTTGGGGAAAGGAATGTTCTGTCTGGGAACCTTGGTAGCCTTCAGAAGCCAAGTGGGGTGTTAGGAGAGGCTGTGGGCAGGAAGGCTCGTGGCAGAGCACCAGACACTGGGTCATTCTGAGCCGAGCAATGTTGCGGACATGATCCGTAGGAGTGGAACAGAACCACAGATGTTATCGAGGAAACAGATTCTCCTGTAGTATTCCTAGTCTTATTAATAGAAGACTTCAAAAGGAGACTCAAACAATTTTATTAGCATTTAAAAGAAAACACGGTACGGGTTAGGTAAAAATCCCGACAGCCATCAGGAAAAGGTGAGAAAACATGCTTTCTAACTTAGTCATGGAATAGAAATAGCTTACTCAAAAAGGAACAATGGAGGCTGAAGGACGGGCTCAGCTAGAAGAGCATTTGCTGTTCTTGCAGAGAACAGGAGTTCAGTTCCCAACATCCATGTCCAGCTCCATGGAGATCCAACACAGTCTAATTGCCTCTGCACACCCACACAAAATAAAATTAATCTCAAAAGAAGAAAAAGAACGTCCAATGGAAACGAGCTAATGAGCAAAAACCTGGCCACTCACTGTATGGCCTTTTATAGCACACACCTCTTTTGCTCGTTGTATTTCCTGAATTTGTCTCCAACATACTTTATTCCTTACATGATGCCAGGTAAAGACAGGTTCCTAGTCTTCCTCTGTGACTTCTTTCATGTTTTTGTTGTTATTAGTGTTTGTTTTTGAGACAGGGTTTCTCTATGTAGCCTTGGCTGGTCTGAACTCTACGTAGAACGGGTTGACCTTGAACTAAGTCACAGAGATCTGTCTGCACCTGCCTCCTCAGTGCTGGGATTAAAGGCCTGTGCCTCCATGCCTAGCCAATCTGTTAATCTTGATGTAGCTATTTAGTCCCTAGTCTCCTACCAAATAACATTTGGAACAAGAACTGTTTGTCGTTGGAGAAGTGTCCTTGGGAAACCACCAAAAAGTTCAAAGTTTACAGGCCCCTGCTGTAACTCCATTTTCTGATTTATCTTATGTCTTACCTAGTTAGGCAAGAGTCTGAGCTTTATACATCAATATGGCCTGTGGGTCTTCTATGTCGATGCCCTGCTAGGGGGTTGGCATGGAGCAAAA